CCTGAGGCCCTGGGTGTTCAGATGTAGTGTTCAGGTTGATAACCACTGGAAACTGTTCGGAGCTGCCTCTTTGTGATTTTAGGATGGCCTTTCCTGAGAGCCTACAATGGTTACCTCAGGTTCCAGTAGACTGCTAAGACCAGGCACCTGGTGACAGACAGTGACAAGAAACGGACAGAAACAGGGGGCATGAGTCCCATGAAAACACTCAAGAGCTGCTGGAGGGCCCAGCCTGAGGTGGCTCCATTTGCTTCCTTCCTGCTGTTGGCCCTGGGACAAGCTCAGTGCAGCATACTGAAGGCCTGACAGCAGTGCGGGGGCTGCTGGGAGAGGGCCTCGCCTCATTCCTCACTGTCCCAGCTCAGCTGGCCTCAGGGCCTACTTGAGCTGAAAGCCCATGTGTCCTCCGAGGACTGGTGGGAAAGGAGATTTGTCTCAGCTGTCAGCAGAGTCTATGCGGGAGACGCAGGGCCTCACAGCCTGGGAGAGGTCACTTCTGCAGCACTATTTAGGATCCTGACCTTCCTTCTGTCTCTGTACGCTCCTCTCTATCCTCACCCCCCTCCCCCACATACACACACCTTGTTTTTATAGAGCTAGCTACCAAGGTGTCATGACATAGTAGGGTTTGTTCTTTAGTGGCTAGTGTAGAATCCAGCAAAGCCCCGGAGTCTCCTGCATGATAAAGGGACCTGACTTGTTTGTTACAATCTTGGGCATAGAATCCAGGGCCTTCCTTGAGGGTGCCAGGAAGCGGCTTAGCATCAGGAGTGTCTTTTACTTACATTTATCTTCTTGTTACATGACACAGGGTCTCCCATTGTAGCCCAGGCTAGATTAGAAGTCACTATTTAGCACAGACTGGACCCAAACTCCAGTGAATTCTCTTGCTTCAGTTTCTATTGCTTCAGTTTCTGGGACAACCAGTGTCACCAAGCATAGCTATTTAGTTTTGGGGGACTTTTGTTTTGTTTTTGTTTTCTGGTTTTTTGGTTTTTTTTTTTTGTTTTTTCGTTTTTTGTTTTTTTAGGTTTTATTTAGTTTATGTATGAGTACACTGTAGCTGTCTTCAGACACACCAGAAGAGGGCATCGGGTCCTATTACTGATGGTTGTAAGCCACCATGTGGTTGCTGGGAATTGAACACAGGACCTCTGGAAGAGCACTTGGTGTTCTTAATTAACCGCTAAGCCATCTCTCCAGCCCATTTAGGGTGGTTTTAAAGGCAAGACTTATGTAATCCAGACTGGCCCTAATCTTGCCTTTTCCTTTGGAGAGCTAGGATTAGAGGGGTGTATCAGGAGGCTGTATCCAGGGGCATCTTTTGATAGTCACTAAGCACCTTTCTGTCCTTCCACGATCATGCTTGGGAGCTGTCCTAGGCCTAAGGCAGCCCCTGGGTCATTTCAGAAGAGGGCGAGTCATCAGAAAGATCAAGTGATTAGCAGGTTGGAACTTTTAGCCCCATTCACTGTTCTTCCCTGAGGATTGGAGGAAAGAAGTCCTGGAGATGGGTTACCTGCAAACCCTTGAGCAAAGAACTCCTTTTAGAGCTGCCAGGATGATGAACTCTGAGCACACCAACTCCACAGAGATAGCATGGCCCACACTGAGGACCCCATCAGATCCCACCCTAGGTACGCCTTTTCATCTGGCATTCATTGGAATCCTTTATAATAGACCCATTCTGCAAGGCTCTGCAAGCCAATCTAGCTAATTATGGAACACGAGAAGGGGGTCGTAGGAGCCCCATGGACAGCCTGTTCATCAGCAGGACAAATGGTAGCCAGGGGCTCGGGACTGGCCTCTTGCAGGGGTGCCGGCTTATGAGAGACTGAATCCTTTGCCCGTAGGGGGTCTGTGCTAAGTCCCAGGTACTTCAAGTCATAAGTGAATTGAATCATCAGACACCCAGCTGGTTTGAAGAATTGGTTAGTGACAGAGAATGTCCCAGAAGCTATAATTAGTGAGCACGTTCAGCCCTTCAGTGTGAGAGGAGGGGGAGTTCTCAGCCAGATCATGAAAAACTGTTCAGGGTGTGGGGGCGGAGGGGGCATCAGTTTCCTCATGCCCAGAGAGTGAAAGCCACAGATGCTGCCTAGCCTCGGGGGGTTAGAGGAGACTTCTCAGTACCCTCTTCCCATCCCATCTGCCGACCTCCCTCAGGCCTGACCAGGATCCCACCTTCCCACTTAGGAAATGGGAGTGTGCTCTGAGTCATGGCCATCTTTGCTTTGTGAGGCCAGCTTCAGCCTTTCCTAGTCCTCTGTTAGTCATCCCTCGTGGTAAGGATTGCAAGCCCCACCCCCACGCAGCACCCCCAGTTCTGAGCCTCTTGCCAGAAATGACTGCCTTTGCTTGTCCAGTTGTGTTGGCTCCTTCCAAGAACCTTAAGCTTCAGAACAAAAAGGTGCCCACGGGGACCCAGGACTGGGAAGCAGCATGTGGCTGGCTACTTTTATGTCAACTTGACACAGGCTAGAGCCAATTGAGAAAATACCTCCATAAGACTGGGCAGCAGGCAGCCTATAGAACACTTTCTTAATGAGTGATTGATGTGGGAGGGCCCAGTCCATTCCAAGTGAGACCATCCCTGGGTTGCTGGTCCTGGGTTCTGTAAGAAAGCATGTTGAGCAAGCCATGGGTAGCAAGCCAGTCAGCAGCACCCCTCCACGGCCTCCGCATCAGCTCCTGCCTCCAGGTTCCCATCCTGTTTGAGTTCCTGTCCTGACTTCCTTCAGTGATGGACTATGGATGCGAAAGCATAAACTAATAAACATTTTCTTCCCCAACTTGCTTTTGATCATTGTGTTTTGTTCTCGAAATAGTAACCCAAATTAAGACACAGGATGTGTAACAGCTGTGCCGCCCGAGTCTGTTCACAAAGAGTCCCGCCATGTTCCAAGGCTTGGAGAGGCCAAGGTAAATCACCAAAGTAGAGTCATCAGAGTGCTCACAATCTACTTCAGGAAGCTAAGAAGGTTCTAGAATGAGCTGTCATGGAGGTATCGAAGGCTGCAGTGAGCCAGAGAGGGGACCTCCCTGGGTGACCAAGGGTCAAGCGGTGAGGCCTCGGCTGAAACGCTAAAGATGAACCAGAGTCCATTGCACTGCACATGGGGATCCCAGAACTGAACAACCTTGGGACTCAGAGATGGCTTTTTGTAAAGACTCTTATCACTGAGTTTGAAGATCTGAGTTTTAGCCTGGCAGTGGTGGCGCACACCTTTAATTCCAGCACTTGGGAGGCAGAGGCAGGCAGATTTCTGACTTCGAGGCCAGCCTGGTCTACAGAGTGAGTTCCAGGACAGCCCAGGCTATAAAGAGAAACCCTGTCTCAAAAAAAAAAAAAAAAAAAAAAAGAAGAAGAAGAAAAAGAAGAAGAAGATCTGAGTTTGATCCCTGGGTCCCACATGGAAGAAGCTAACTCTGACTCATGGTTCTACTCGTGAGAGCCACAGGGTGTTCTAGCATGCTTGCACCCAAACATAGACATACAGTGTAAATAAATAAAAACAAACCTAAAAGCAGAGAGGGGCCAGAGGGAGTGGGAGCTCAGGATTCAGCAGGGCAGGATGTGGAATAAATGACCTGGGACAGAGGGTAGTTTGAGTGAGGTGGTCAGGCCTTGGGTCTGTGACATTTGGGAGATTCAAGAGGCTGGCATAGCTGGTGAGAGCCGAGCAGAACCCTGCCACTGTAAGGAGAGAGACAGCACGTGTCCAGTACTTGGCTCCGTGAGGGCTGACTAAATGTCCATAGGAGTCTGAGCACACTGTCCGCATGGAAGGGAACCGATGTGGGCTCACCTGAAAGCTCTGGGGGATCCTGTGGGGAACCAGTCTCCCCCGGCTGGATCGCCATGAATTGGCTCTTCTTTTCCAAAAAAGGATTCTTTGGAGACTGATAAAAGCTGAGACCCAGTCCCCACGTAAAGTTAGGCTCTGCGTATTGTTTTAGGGACTCCTAGACAGACTCCAGGAAGCCTAGCTAGTCATGAAAACTGGTTGGACACAGCTGCCATTTCCTAACAGTGGCTGAGAAGAGTCCCCACTGTTATCACAGTTGCTTAGGCGGTGTGTGTGTGTGGGGGGGTGTGGAGGTGTGCGCGCGAGCACGTGTGGGCGCCCACGCAGGAGAGGGTTCTGAGCAAGTGCGATGGTTGACTCTGGGAATAACCAGAGAGGCCTTTTGTTTTGTCACTGTTGACAGTACTAGGGATCAAATCCAGGGCTTTTATTCACACTTGTCTTGTGTGTTTTAAAACGTATTTATCTGGGACTTGGGAGGCTGAACCAGGAGAATCTCTGAGAAGCCAACCTGCCCCCCAACCCCCACCCCAGCTTGTCCCGTCCCTGAGCTATGAAGATACATGGGAACGGAAGAGTGCTTCAAGCGCACTCTGACTTCCAGAAACCCAAGATACATCAGGAGAAGGAAAGAGAAAAAGAAAATGTGGCCGGGAAACCAGGAGGGCTGGTGAGCTGGGCTGAGAGCCCAAATGAAAATAAAGGGCCAAGTTGGAACTCCAGGGCTCCCCAGGCCGGGTGGCTCCAACTCTCTCAGCTGGCCAAGCTAAGGGCTACCGCTCTGTTTACAGGACTACCTGCAAGGGACTTTTTCCCTACTTTTTTCCTGAGTCTCCCCCCCCCCGGGGGGGGGGTGTTCCAGAGAGGTAATGTGATCTGCCCAAGGTGACACAGCTAGGGAACAGCAGTCTGGACCCGACCCAGAGCTGCCAGCGCGCAGGACCCGCACTCTTCCACTTCGCTCCACGCCCCTCCCCTCCCCCCGCCCCCTCGCTCTTCCGCCCCTCCCTCGCCTCCCTCCGGGGTGGCGGCCGAGCCACGTGGTGGGCCGGGAAGCGGCGGCTGCCGAGCGCCCGGGCGGCTGCCCCAGCTGGGCAGTGCTGCACCGCGCCGCGCTCGGTGCCTGCGGGGGCCGCTGCGCGCTGGCCGGCGCCGCGGGCGGGAGGTGTGCCGACGGCCGGCCGCAGACAAAGGAGGCGCGGCAGAGCCCGCGCGGACCGGGCGCACCATGCACTCGGGGTGCGGGCGGCCGGCCGCGGCTCTGGGGACCCGGCCCTAGTCTCCGGCCCCACCGCCCCGGGGCGCCATCGGGACGACGCGGCCCCGCGCGGCGCGAGGAGGAGCCATGGGCAAGTGCAGCGGCCGCTGCACGCTGGTCGCCTTCTGCTGCCTGCAGCTGGTGAGCGGCGCGGAGCGGGGTGGGGCAGCGGCGGTTCGTGGGCGCCACCCGGGGTGCGGGGTGGCCGGGCGGAGCCTGCCCCGCGCGGGCCGGCTTGTCCCTTTGTGTGCGCTTCTTGCCTCAGCTCCGCGCTCGCGCGCACGGTCCAACGCTCCCGGGCTGCACGCGTCCGTTCGCACTGTCTGTGCGTGGGCTCCCGCTGGGGGCTGCGCCCCGGGACTGTGGTTCCCTTGGGGCTGGGGGTGTGTCCGAGGCCGGTCTGTGCACTCGGCGAGGTCCCTGCCGGCACGTCCCCTCCAGATCGCTGGTTCCGTGGGTACCTCATCCCTCTGGGCTCCGCCCCTGTGAGCGTCTCTCACAAAGTCTCTTTCTGCTCCTGTGTTCGTCTCTGGAATGTTTTTAGATCTCTGGCCATTTCTGCTTCCTGTTTGGGTGGTGGGACCTGAGACTCTTTGAGAACCCTCAGCCGTCCTTTGTGCTTCTTTCCTGCCTCCCAGCACCCTCCTGACTGGGTGGCTTGGGATGGAGAGCTACCTTCTTGAGGAGGGTAACCAGGAATTGATCTATCGTGGGCCAGCCTGACCTGGCAGGCACCGGACCCACTCTGTGGCTTTAGTCTGGCCACCGAGTCCTCCAGCGTCCCATGAGCCATCTGTTCTATCAGCAGCGGGTGGGGTGGGGTCAGGTAAAGAGTTCCTTGGTGCCATTGGATGAGGACACTTGAGTGTCCTGGGAAGAATCAGAGCATCTGGGGGCTCTGTGCTGGCCCCAGTTTGGGGGACTGGAGGGCAGCAGAGTGAATCCTAAGGCTAAGAGTAACTGAGGTCCTGGCCTATATATTGGGAGCGCGATAGAGGAGAGACAGGGGTCTCCTGCCTCCCTTGGAACTGTGGTCCAACACGGCTTTGCTTCTTCTTAAGACAGTGTTGTGTAGGAACTGCTGATAGCATCAGGTCTATGGAAGGCCTGGGGCACTTGGGCCTCATTACTGTGGGTCCCGTGGTCTGGGTCTGCCTTCCGGCCTGCACCTGCCTCCCTACAGGTGCAGAGGGTGGTGGAGAAGCTTTGAGTGGGGTGTGCAGGTGGCCTCTGTCCTCTCACCTTACCTTGAGTCACCAGCCCCACGTCTGCTGTCCTCTCGGCCAGGCTAGAACCTCCTTTCCCCCACATTGGTATCCTGGTGATTTCCCCTCACAAGACCACCTGGTCTGTCAGGCATCATTGTCAAGGACAGTAGAGGGGCTTAATCACCACCAGGTAGGATGAAAACTCGGAAAGGGCAGAGATAGCTCATTTTGTTCCCGCTAAATCCCCAGCAGCTGGACAGTGCCTGACACCTCATTAATATTGGTAAGCTAAATGCAGAACTGGCTATTTGGCCGATCTGGGCTCAAAGTAGAAATATTTTCCTTTATCTATTTTCAGGACCATAAAATGCCAAGAAATCTTCAAACTTTTTGAGAATTCCCCTTCTTTAATTAAAAAAAAGGAATTTATTATTTTTAAAAATTTTGTGCATCCGCATCTGCATGCGTGAGTGCAGGTGCCCACAGCATCCTGACGAAGCCATCGGGCCCACTGAGGCTGGGGTTACAGGTGGTATGAGCTGGGACTCAAACTCAGGTCCTCTGCAAGAGCAGAGCGTTCATAACTGCTGAGCCATCTCTCCAGCCCCAGGGATGTCTTCTTGCTTTTGTTGACTTGTTGTGTTTATTGTTCTTGTTTGTTTGAGACATGTTCTAACTCTTCAGGCCAGGCTGGTCTTGAACCTTCAGCCGTCTTGCCTCAGCCCCTGATTACTGGCTAGAATTACAGGATGTCTAGCTTAAGTTTTAAACTACATTTTGTTTGTTTGTTTGTTTTATTTTGTTTTGAGAGAGTGGTCTCTCAGTATGTATCCCTGGCTATCCTGAAATTCACTCCATAGACCAGGCTGGCCTCGAACTCACAGAGCTCTACTTACCTCTGCATCTCGAGTGCTGGGATTAAAGGTGTACACCTCTACACCCAGCTTAAACTACATTTTTTTTAAAAACTTAAACAAAGGGTGTATGTTATGAAGTGCGTAAACGAACACTCAGAGAGTGGAGAGTGTCGCTTTCTTCTCTCTGTGCCTGTGATCGGTTTGTCCCTTGTTCACTCTCGAGTGCTGTTACTAATTCGCTGGGTGCCAGCTCCTCTTGGGAACGCTCTTCCATGAGCTAACTCATTTAACCTTCATTGTGACCCAGTGATGTAACTTGCTCAAAGGGATCCAGGAACTAAGATTCAGGCATGGGACCAGCCTCCTCTGTTGCCTTAGCTACAGCCTAAGAAGCTCTGGCCTTGGTATACTGGGGCCCTTAGGGAGGTGCTCACCCATCTTGGGAAGCAGAACAGGGGATCTCCCAGCCTCCAAGCTCTCCCAGACAAGTGATGCCAGCTCTTCCACCAGCACAGAGCTAGCTTAGACAGGACCTGGGTGGGATTCCACATCTCCCACGCCTTGCCTGGGTAGCTTGGGCAGCTTGTGCGGGCTACATGAGACAATTTAGGATGTGCTGGGGGGCGGGGGGACTTGAAAATTGGTCTCTTGGCTCTGTTACTCTGTCTGAGCTGATTGCAGAGAGGGTCCTTCCAGATGTCACTCACGAACCCCCTAGAGCCCCTGCAGCCTGGCAGCTTCCAGAATGTGCTCTCAGGATGGGGAATGTGCCGGCCTGAGGGGAGGAGGCGGCCAGCTTTCTTATCCAGAGGACTGAGGTATTACGGTGAGAGTTAAATATTTTTTAGCTGAAAACGTTAAGAAAAACGATTGTTTTCCGTTTTCCAAGCTAGTTGCAAACCCTTGTTTGGGGTAGACTTCTTTTGGGCAAAGGGTAGAACACGGGGGATGGAGCATTAGAGGAAGCAGATCAGGACTGTGCCACTGAGGTGGACAAGTGCAGGGAATAATTGAGGCTCTGGCGTTTGAGCAAAGCCTGGGTTCCAGCTCCCTCTGTCACCTAGTCACTTCCTGGCTGTGTGATCTTGGATAAGTGTCTCTGTCTCTCTCTCTCTCTTGTTTGTTGCTGTTGTTAATTTTAATTTATTTAGTGTATGTGTGTGCAGATGCCATGGCATGCATGTGGAGGTCAAAGGTCAATTTACAGGAGTTGGTTCTCTTCCACTTTGTGGATCCTAGGGATCAAACTCAAGTTGTGAAGCTGAACAGCAAGCACCCTTAGCCTTTGAGCCATCCTGGTGGCCTGTCGTTGGGTTTTGTTTTTTTGTTTTTTTGTTTTTTTTTTTATTTTGACACAGGGTTACTCGGTGTAGCCCTGGTTGTCCTGGGCCAAGCTGGCCTCCAACTCAAAGAGATCCCCCTGCCTCTGCTCCAGAGTGCTGGGATTACAGGCGTGTGCCACCACACCAGTCTGCCACGTCCCTTCTCCAAAGCACAGCTTTGCTATCTGTCATAAACAGTTCCATAAACAGTTCCTCTGTGTGTGCATGCACATGCTCGCACGTGTGTATGTGTGTGTGTGGTGTGTGTGCACGCGCATGTGCGCGCACTCGTGCATGTTCATGAGGATGTGTGCACACAAGAGTGCACATACATAAAAACTGTGAAGGCCAGTTGCTGATCTCAGTGCTCCCCTCAGCCTCTTGCACATTTTCCACCTCATGGGGTCTCTCACTGACCCTAGACCTCACTCTATTGCTAACCTCACAGGCCAGCGGGCTCCAGAGATGCCCCTGTCTCTGCCTCACACACACAGCTGCACCCAGATTTCTCTTTCTTTTTTTAAAGAATTATTTATTTTATGTATAGGAATACACTGTAGCTGTCTTCAGACACACCAGAAGAGGGCATCTGATCCCATTAACGATGGTTGTAGTTGCTGGGAATTGAACTCAGGTCCTCTGGAAGAGCAGTCAGTGCTCTTAACTGTTGAGCCATCTCTCCAGCCTCAGATTTTTTACGTGGGTGCTGAGGGTTAAAATCCAGCCCTTATGCTTTTGTGGCAATCAAGCACTGTATCGGCTGAGCTGTCTCCTGGCCTCCAAGTTTCTGATTCTTAGGGTTATTATAGGGGCTGTCACGCTGGAACTATAACTCAAGCATTGAAGGGGTCGTGTACTGAGGGGCAGGAAGACTGGGTTCTAGCCCTGCTCTGACCTTGACATCTGCCTGTCTGTGCATCTCCTTCCGCTGTGTCTCCTGTTTTGTTTAGTTTTTGTGTTTTCCCCATCTGTGAGGTGCGGAGAACTTGAAGCCTGGCTCCTGGGCTCCCAGCTCTGCTTGACTGGGATCTGAGCGGACATCTGGGCAGGTATGAGGTTTTGTAGTTCCCTTCTGGTCTCAGAACCTTTCAGGACCCTCGGTTTCCTGGGTTCTAGTTACTGTAGCACTCTGACCTGTTAATACAGTTCGCTCCTGGATTCTCACTCATTTGCATATTTCTCTCCCTACTCACCTCCTTCCCGAGCTCCCCCGGTGGCTCTGTTCTTCTGGTAAGGGGATGAACCCGGACGGTCGCCCCGGGAACTCGTCATTGGTTTCTTCATCATCATCATTATGGTTCCCGTTTCAGGAGGCCTGTGCTAACCACTTCGTATGCATTACCTCATTTAAGCAAATGAGCTTACATATGTAAAGTGCTTGGCAGAGTGCCTGGTACATGTTAAATGATCAATAAACGCTAGCCATTTTCCTGCCTCTACCCTTCGCATTATCCTAATTCCTCACTGTGGGACGGATGGTTTTATTATCCCCTTTTCCAGATAAGGAAATTGAGGTGCCCAGGGGTCACCAAGCTAGTGACAGAACTTGAATGCCAGCCCTCTTCTGCCTCTTGGAAAAAACTCACGACATCTACATTTCCATTGTTCAGTTTCCTCATCTCAAATGAGGTGTTCAGAGTCTCGAGCATAGTGCCCCCACTATGTGCTAGCAACAGCTTCCTACTGTGGTAGTTCTTGTCCCAACCCTGTGTGACCTTGAACGGATACATTCTCCATGGGACCCAGCTTCTAAC